CCAGCTGGCTAGACTGTGCCTCTCACTGCAGTTTGACAGTGCTAGTGCAGACGTTGATGACAGCGACATGTATTACGACGACATGGGTTTCAGCAACATGGATACCAACGACATGCAGCACCCTGATGCATTCGTTTCAGACCGGTGGCTGGACTTGAACGATTTGGACGAGAGTGACTCTTCTGACGACGACGACGACGACGACGACGACGACGACGAGAGCGAGGCCGAGAGCGAGGATTTGATCAACGAGCAGCTCGCGATCGACGTTGTCGACGAGCTTCGAGCTTATGCGTTTGCCATGGCTCAGGATCAAGCGGAGAAAGACACCGACTCCGCGGCGCCCAACACGGAGGCCGATGAGTATATGGGCGAGCTGATGGAACGCCTACATTGCCTTCGGAGTAAGTCAACACTCCGGATGTTTAGCCAGACCCTCGCAGGGTTGGACAATTTCCTCCAACGATACAACAATGATCTCAGAAAGACCGTGGTCACTGGAATGCGAGCGCACGGGTTGAATGACGAGCAGGAGCAGAAACTAAACGAGCTGTTTGACGACCATTTTCGCGCCACGGGTACGAAACGAACAACGCAGCTGCCCTTGCTATCGATGTCACGCGTCCCATTCACTAACCGCATCTTGTTCGTCTCTGGCAGCGATACCTGCGACTCCGTACTACTTTCAGCAGGCCCTCGTGCGCGATTCCATGGTTGGACAGCGGACAACACCCGAGCCCGAGCTAAATGCATGTGAGCGTATTGCCAGCCTCCAACGCAAGTATGCCGATTATGCTACTGCCGTGTGGTATCATACTGGCTGTCGATGCCATCCTACGGTTCAGCAAGCTCTGTCAATGTGCAAGCTCTGTCCGTGTGGGAACGTGACCTACACCTGCCGAGCCAGCGTTTGGATCCTCGACGAGGCGCCATCAACTCGTCAGCAAGACAAGCTGGAGTGTGATAGTAATCCTCGCTGCACAACGCTTGTTTCGGCACGTATTTTTGTGTATTTTCCGCTAAAGCCGCAGCTGACCAAGTTGTTTGAGGACCCTGAATTGGTCAAAGGCTTGATCGATCGATATGGTGATCTGAACGATGCAACACATGTCGACCGTCTGTTCAGGGAGTGGCCCGCCGTGTTTCAGGAATCTGCAGGATTGCCTCAAAAGACTCATCCCCTCCAAGGCGAGCATTTCCAGAAGTCATCGCGGCTCGACTTCCTCCATGAATCCCCATGGAATCTGTCACTTTGCTTGTTCTACGACGGGTCAGTTGGTTGTCAGCATTTGCTCGAGACAGATGTGGGAGGGAGACGATGGTCTCACTTCCAATGGTTGGTTTGGTAGATTTCAAGCATTCAACTCATCGAGCGTCCAGATGCACCACTGTGTGTGTGCGTGTGCT